CCCGCCCCTGGACGTCGCTGGGGCTCCGAGCGGGGCGCAGGTCCTGGACTCACCTGGCTGCTCTTCCTTCAGCTGGCCGTGCCTCTCCTCCGGTCCGGTCCCCGCCGTCCGGGAAACCAGCCTGCCTGTCGGGATGGACGAAGAGAGCCTGGAGACGGCCCTCCAGACCTACCGTGGCCAGCTGCGGCAGGTTGAACTGGCTCTGGGTACGGGCCTGGATGCCTCCGAGCAGGCGGACCTGCGCCAGCTGCAGGGAGACCTGAAGGAGCTGATCGAGCTCACCGAGGCCAGCCTGGTGTCTGTCAGGAAGAGCAAACTGCTGGCCTCGCTGGACCAAGAATGCCCACCCCAAGAGGACGCCGAGTACCTGGCGTTCCAAAAGGCCATTGCTGAGGTCGCGGAGGTGCCCACCACTCCCAGGACAGACCTTGAGACCGGCCCTGAGAGAGAGGCAGGACAAGAACCTACTGAACCTGGGCGGGAGGAGGAGGGAGAGGAGGAGGGAGAGGAGGAAGAACTGCACGGAGCGAAGGTGAACGCCCCCTACCACAGTGCATGGGGCACCCTGGAATATCACAATGCCATGGTGGTGGGCACCGAGGCGGCAGAGGATGGCACGGCCTGTGTCCGCGTGCTCTACCTGTACCCGACTCACAAGTCTCTGAAGCCGTGCCCATTCTTCCTAGAGGGAAAGTGCCGCTTCAAGGAGAACTGCCGGTAGGTTCTTTGCTGCCTGCAGTTAGGGGCAGGCAAGCCTTCTCTCCCTCTTGGTCTTTTGTCCTTCTCACCCAGCAGAGTTGCTGACAAGGAGCAGGCTTTTTTACAGCAGTCCCTCGATGAGGCGTTTAGTTTGATTGTGGGGGGTAGATCAAGAAGTTGGGAAGGGTTTATCTTGAATTAGGTTCTGCCCCACTACCCGTTTTATTCTCCTGAGTGAAACTTTTAAAATATGCGTTTTTTCCCCTTTTTCCGTGTTGGAGATCAAACCCAATCTTGCCGGAATGCCAGGCAAGCTCTGTACCACTGAGTTACACCCCCAGCAACCAGTTTACTTACAGAAATTTTCAGACAAAGTTGGAGTTGTTATACTCCATGTTCTACCATCTAGCTTCATCATGCATCAAACTTTCCAATCTTTTATGTTTTCCCTGCTCTTTTTTTTTTTTTTTTTGACAAGGTCTCACTATGTTTCAGGCTGGCTTTGAACTCACTATGCAGCCCAGGCTGGCCTCAAACTCTCATTATCCTCCTCCCTCAGCTTCCTGAGTCCTGGGATCACAAGTGTGCACCACCACACCAAGCTCTCCTGTACTACTTTAAAGCAAATTCCAGAAATTGTTTTTGTTTTTTCAACCATAAGTGCTTCACTAATCTAACTGATAAGGATGTTACTGAAGAAGTAACCTCTAATGCTTATACCTGACAGATGTGACAGAGATGTCTCATGCAAATACACTTATTGCCATGATGCTTTTTGTTTTGTTTTGTTTCCCTGTACTAGGGATTGAACTCAGGACCTTGCACTAGGCGTCAGCACCACTGGGCTAAATCCCCAGCCCCTGGACCTCATAATTCTTAATAGACTCTTGGCAGGCACCTCCCTTCCTCCCTTCCTTCCTTCTTTCCTTCCTTCCTATCTCTTTCCTTCGTTTTCTCCCTTCCTCCCCATCCAATGCAGAAAAGCACATAGGTCATCAGTGGGCCCAGTGGGTTTTCACCAAGTGGACATGCCCACATAACCTGCAGCCAGATCATCTTTCTGCTGTTGGTCTCTCTGACAGTCACAGGTTCCTTTGTGGTGGCCCTGTGAGAGATCTGACGTAGCCCAGGCTTGCTGCCTCTGGCCCAAGCTCTGTTCCAAGGGATTGACACATGCGCACTCATCTGTCCACTGACCTTGTGGATAGACCCTGCACTCTGCTCATTTTATAGACAGGCAGCAAGCACTAAGTTGTTGATCCTAGGTTGACAGCCCTTAGATTTTGTTCAGCTGGTGCAGCTGCTGTGTTAGAGTTAGGTTTAATTTGAAGAGTATTAAACACCCAGGACTGATAATTTATTTTCTTAGATTTTTTAAGGTAAAAGAAATGAAGTGATATAGTTAATGTTGGAGTACCTTTCTACCCCCTACTCTATTCCTTTCCATCTCCTGAGAGGCTGCTCTTATCACAGCTTTGACATGTACAAGGGGTGATCAAAAAATACAGTGTATGTTTAAATAAAAATGTATTATTAAATTTGTTATATTAAAAGACACATCGATGTTAATTTCCAACAAAGTGCTTCCCCTTACTTTGAACACACATATCCTGTCGTGTCACTTTCTGAAACAGTTCTGCAACTACTCTCTCAACGTCTTATGAGATGTGATCAAAAATGTGGCAAAAGGGCCGGGATTTAGCCCAGTGGGTCCGCTACCTGCCTCACAAGCACAAGGTCCCAAGTTTGATCCCTGGTACTAAAAAGAAAAAAAAAAAAAGGCATATGCTGTTGGGGAGTATCATCCAAAGGAAGAGCAGGCTTGCAGAAGCATTATAAGTGTCTTTATTCACTAGAGCTGGGACTGCAACTTCCCCAAAGTCAAAATGACCATGAAAGGTGAATCTTTTGACTCAGTTCAGGACATTAAGGCAGCCATGACAGTGCAGCTAACACTTATGAAAGAGGCCTCCAGAACTGTAGCAGAAGTAGAAAAGGTGTGTTTGAATTGAGAGGGTTTAGTGGTGGTGTATTTTTTACTGTAATGAATTTTTTTAAATTTAAACTTTCATTGTGTATTTTGATCATACTTTGTAGTAATTCTCTAGACATGTGTTCTCTATAAATGGTATTTATGCTTTTGTGTGTGTATATGTGTGTGTGATCAGGGGTTGAACTCAGGGCCTTTGCACTGAGCTACACCCAAAATCCTTTTCATTTTAAGTTTTGAGGCAAAGTCTCACTAAATTGCCAGACTGGGCTCAAACTTTCAATTCTCCTGCTTCAGCCTACCAAAATGCTGGGATTATCTCTGTGTGCCACCATACCCAGTTTATTTTTAAATTTGCTTATAACTTGTGTTTTTCAGTATGTTTTTCTCACACACGTGTGTGTGTGTCTGTGTGTGTTTGTGTGTGTGTGTGTTTGTGGCACTGAGATAAAACCTAGGACCTCACATATGCTTTTTTTTTATACAGTACTGGGAGTTGAGCCTAGGGTCTTCACACTGAACTACATCCCCAGCGCTTTTTTTTTTTTTTTTTTTTTTTTGGTGGAGATCAAAGTCCAGTCCTTGTGCTTGCGAGGCAGGTGGCAGCACCACTGAGCTAAATCCCTGGCCCTCATTCATGTTAACTGTTGTTATTTTCCCTCATAAATATGCCATATTTTATTTATATCCCAGTCTGTTAGTTCAGAAGTCATTTATTGCAGACGTCCTGCACTGAGTATCCTAGCACATGTTCTGTTGTACCTACTGCCTATTTCTTCAGTGTGTAACCAGTGTGTGCATATTTTAGTACACAGGGTATGCATGTTTTTTGTTTCTGTATAAAGGTGCCTTTTTTAATGCTGGATGTTATACCGAGTCTCATGTATGCTGGGCAAGTACTGTACCCCTTAGCTGAACTCCAGCCCACTAGTCCTCTTCTAGCTGCTCCAGGGATATTGTCTGACTTTGAGATTTGTGCCCATTGGAAGGTGGTGCAGACTGGGTGTGGTGGTGCATGCTTGTAATCCCAGCATTCAAGAGGCTATGGCAGGAGGATCACTGCAAGTTTGAGGCCAGCCTGAACTACATAAGGAGACTGTCTCAAGAAGAAAAGAGAACAAAAAAAAGGTGGGGCAATGACATCTGGATAGAATTTGTATTTCCCTAATTTCTAGTGAGGTTGAACATCTTTTCACACATTTAATTTAATCTTTTCATCTCTCCCCTTTATTTTAAAAATGGAGATGAGACATCCTTCAGTTATTGGGAAGATGGACTGCATTAATTTGTGCAGAGGATTTAGAAGGATGGAAGTAACAAGGAGCAAGCCCTGGTGGTCTTTACCTTCTTATTGTAAAATAAGTTCAGAAATGGAAAATTAACATAGAATTTAGGGCAGTGGTCCCCAGTGTTTTGGACATCAGGTACTGGCTTCTCAGGGAAAATTATTTTCCATGAACAGAAGTAGGATGGATGGTTTCAGGATAATTCAAGCATGTTAGATTTATCGTTTACTTTATTTCTATTATTACATTATATTATATAATGAAATCATTATACATCTCATCATATGCCAGATCAGTGGGAGCCCTGAGCTTGTTTTCCTTGGCTAGATGGTTCAGTGTAGGGGTGATGGGAGACAATGACATTTGAAGTGTGTTATGTCCAGTGTACTCTAAAATTTCATTTTGTTTGCTGTCACTGCAAAGAAAGATAGAATTTTAGAAATCGAAATAGGCTTTTCAGTGCTTTTGTGACAGTGTCAGGATATTCAACCTTAACTTTCACACAGAACACCGGGAGATTTTAAGTTGTCTCAAATGTAATTATACGGCCACTGTCTTTTTCTTTAACTTTTTACTGTACTCGTTTTTTATTAGTACATGTTTGTAGTGTATCATGTGTACATCCCTTGTGGGAACTGGTAAGTACACATAACACACCTTCATTCCTTTGTTCATCCCTTTTCCTTCCTTCCCTCCCTCCACCTTTTGATCCCTTTCTCTTTGTAGAAAAATCTGCCTTCCTACTTCTTATTATCTATCTTTTGTTTTGCTCTTTCTTCTTTGGGTTTCTCATACAAGAAAAAATCTTGTGATATTTAAACTTGTGTGTCTGGTTTATGTCACTTAACATTATGGTCTCAAAATACATCCATTTTCCTATAAATGACTCAAGTTTCTGTGTGGCAGAGTAGTATTCTATTGTGTACGAAAACCACATTTTTTAGCATTTTCTTTATATATTCATTGTTGATGGACATAGGGACCACTTCCAAGATTTACCTATCATGTATCGTACTGCTGTAAACATGAGTGTGCGTGGATCACTGTCATATGATGTCTTTAACTCTTTCAAGAAGAAGATAGCTAGAATGGAAATAGCTGGGTCAAATGGAATTTCTTTCTTTTTTTTTTTTTGGTTTTTTGAGACAGGGCCTCACTATGTACTTCAGACTGACCTGGAACTCACTATGTAGCCCAGGCTGGTCTTGAACTCACAGCGATCCTCCTGCCTCAGCCTCCCAAGTGCTGGGATTACAGGTGTGCACCACCACACCTGGCTCTCTTGTATTGTTTTTTTAGTCTCAATTTCATTAATTTCCACTCTAATTGTCCTAATTTTTTCCTCCTATTAGTTTCAGATTTGGGCTGTTGTCTTTCTTAATCTTTGGGATGCATCACTAATTATCTGCGTGGGACTACTCTTTTTTTGTGTGCATTCACAGCTATACGCTTCCCTCTTAGAGCTGCTTTTGCATCATTTGATTCTAGGAACTTTGTTCTTTTTTATTATTTATTCTCTGATTTCTTCTGTTTGTTTTTGTTTTTGCTTTCTTTTTGAGTCAGGGTCTCGCTGTGTAATTCACGCTGGCTTTAAACTGACTGTCAGCCCAGGCTGATCTCGAACTTGCAGTTCTTTTCCTGTCTTAGCCTCTTGAGTGATGGCTGGGATTACAAGCATGCACCACAATGCCTGGCAATAATATAGTATTTACATTCCATGTGTTTGTGTAGTTTCTGTGACT